ATTATTATAAGAGGTAGAATTAATTATTTATGGTACCTATAAAACTCATCAAAGATGTCGATATTCGTCAATAAAAAAAGCTAATAGCTTTCCTGAAGAGAAAAAACGGCGGAGAAATTTCGAGAAAACCTAGAATTTTTGAGAAGCATGTCATAGGAAGAAAAACTGAGAAAAAATAAATAAATTATTTGCGTGCATTTTTTTTTATCCCATTTTGACGTTTAAAAATGAAATTATTGAACGCATAACAATAAAGGTAAGTAGAAGTTTATCGTTTCAGTGATTTAAAAGAATTTAACTCTCGGCATTTTAAGTCACTCTGTCCGACTAAAAATTTGATACCTCAGTGATTTAGAATATTTTTAACTCACTCTCTGCATTTTTTCTTCATTTAACTCACTTGGTGTATAAATAACTATTTACGCACGCCGTGTGATAATTTTTTTTCCACGCATGCTGTGCGGAAAAGTGGTACTTTCCGCACGCAAATCGGTGCGTGAAACCGCGTTTTCCGCACGCTCATAGGAAAAAAATAATTAAAATACTCTATTTTAAGAATTATGACTTTAGGGGTGGCTGAGGGGTGAGAGTCATGTACCCCAGGGTGGCAAGAACCATTTTCACATGGCAAAATATCCTCAATAAATTTTTAACTAGGCGCCACACTTTAATCACAAAGTTGCCACGACCCCCTCATAAAGTGCCCTATGCTGCCTAACTAATAATATCCTAATTACATATAAAATATCCCTGCTTATAATTATATAATCCACATCTGTACCTCAGAGGTAAACTGTATCAAGTCACCTTTTTTTTGCGAAAATGAGTTTTTAGCAGAATACTACTTCTAATAACTTACTTGACCTCTGAAAAACATTTCAAACACCTAGCTTTTAAGATAACCGAAATACCCAGTTGGAACCTGTATTAAGTCACTCACCAAGCTCAAAGGTAAATAGGGTCGTTTCATGATTTTTTTAAATTTTTTTATTGAATTAAGCACATCAAAAACTATTCTTGGTTTTTTTTCCCGCATTTTTTAGAATGATATTAAAGGAGATATTTCAATTTGAAATTTTACTATTTTCCGTTATTTTTTAAAATGGTTTGACGCCACAAGGCGCGCTTGCGCCCTGTATTTCTAAATTTAAGTTTGCATCACTGACAGAATTTGCTAGTTGTCTAGTTGGCTACCCTGCGACTGGCATATGTCCGTCTTCTTTTAGAGGTTATGTCAGTTATTTTGTTATTTATTTTGATTCGCCTGCCTGGTTGATTGATAAAATAAAAAATAAATACTTATTTTACCCGTTTATTTGTTTGGTTTACGTGAGAAGATGGATAGTGGATTTATTAAAGCCTGCAGCGAAAATTTACCTAAACTAAATTATGTGATGCTGCAAGAGTTTTTTTGCCAAAAATACGGATTATTTAAGTGCAGAAAAAGAGGAGTCAAAACAGAAAGGTGGGTAATGAAATATTGGCATAATTATTGTATTGGTTTAGCTTTCGCTCATTATTATATTACATTTTTAGTAGCAGGGTAACAGTTTTATAGTTTCATATATTTTTAGGTCAGCGAGAGACAGTTATTGTGGGTGACGATGCTATTGGGTGTGTGCAGTTGAAAAGAAACAGCAGAATATCCTCTGTTAGGAGCATTGCCAGATGGAATAAGCAAAGAATTTGTGATTGAAGTTGAATGTCCTAGCAAGGAGGAGACTGTGAAAAACTACATAAAGAAAATGAAAATATAATGACGAAATACATGTGCCAACTTCAGTTACAATTGTTATTGTATAACAGACAAAAAGGACTGTTTTGTGTGGCAAGTCCCAAATTTGGAGAGGATAATGAAATGACAATGTTTGAACTATACTTAAACATTAGGTTTCTCAAAGTAAATATTGAATCAGCTGAAGAATTTTGGAAAAAAAATGTATTTTCAGTCATTTTGAATAAAAATATATGATTGATTTGGGAGTCTGGTAGTTTTCTTCTTTACATTATTTATGCATTAAAAGTACCCTTTTAATCCCCAAGGTTAAATTTCACTTTATTTCCCAAGGGATTAACTTTTTACTTTATTTCCCATGGAGTATATGGAACAGGTAATAAAAGGGTACTCCGAGCCGAGGGAATAAAAAACACTTTAGTCCTGAGATGTATACACTATTTTATGTACTTTACAGGGATCAAAATTACCCTTTCAATTTTTAATCCCTATAAAGTGCATAAAATAGTGTATACACCTCAGGACTAAAGTGTTTTTTAATCCCTCAACAAATTATAGCCCTCCCTTTGGGATTAAAAGTACCACTTTGGTCCCTAGGTGTATAATGTACTATTTTGGCTGTAAAAAAAAACAATAGGTTTTTTTTTATACAATATATTCAAAAAAGCATTTTTTTTCTAGCTTTGACATAATAATTATATTTGTATCTAGTGCGCGAAATGCTACTTTGGTGATCGAGATCTGATTTTTTTTAACGAGGCGCAGCTGAGTTAAAAAAATAGTCGAGATCACCAAAGTATTTCGCGCCCGAGTTGCAAACAATATTTTTTCTACAACTCCATTTAAATATCGATCATTCGAAGCCCAAAATTGCATTCTCAATCAAAGGTAGGTGAATTTTAATTATTTTTGGTTTCCTGACAGGTATGTCACCATGACACCAGTGTGCGAACTAGCTATTTCGCGCACTAGTGTGCGAAATAGCTAGTTCGCGCACGGCGTCATGGGAACGTTAAAAAATCAATACCTGGGAAAAAAAGTGTCACTTCGCAAACTGTCATGACTCATGAGTGTGCGAACATCATAATTTTTTGACAGTTGTAGAAAAAATTTATTTGATTAATGGTCCCTGCAAATTCACTATTCCACAAGCAATAATTATTAAATAATCAGTTTTTGCTACAAGCTGATGGTCAATGCAGGAATGTCCTTCGAGTATTGCAAATTCTCACAAGCTTTGTATCACTCTTTCAATATGGATTCGTAAGCTGGCAATTCTTTCATTCAGCTTCTTAACAAACTCCGATTCTGCCTAAATTGATATGTGAAACCACATTTTTCTTCATACGTAATTTGCAGTTTGTCATCCTAAACTGCATCCAGTTATCACAATCTTGTTCCATCTATAAACATAATATAATGTTCATATTTTTGAAATAATGACAGAAAATAGGTGTTTATAAAATGAAATTTGGCAACTAAGTTTACTTACATTGAAATGATCTTCGCAGCAATAAATTCCACCAGAAATACTAGACCATATATTAACTCTTTCCACAGCTAAACACCAACTTTTTCTTATTTGTTCATTTTTGGGGTTTGGGATTTTCTTCGAATTTAGATTACTGTTTGTACAAGAAGGCACAAAACATTTACGAAAATCCATAGCCAAAAAGTGAAAAGTAGGTGGGCCTTAGGTGGGTACACTGAAACTGAAATGCATGCTCTATTTGAGTCCTTAACATCAAATAATGAGAAACAATGACTTACTTTGAATTTATTACACGTTTCTTTTAAATATTTTTTTGAAACCTCGGAAAAACCGTTGAAAAACTCAAAAAATAATGAAAATATAACAACGGTCAACGACAATCCAAAATAATAACAAAACAACATAACCTCACAAAATTGCATATGTTGATGGATTTGTTTTTTTTTTTTTTTTTATGGATATGCGCACTCGCAAGGAAATGTCCTATCACGCTCGAGAAGCGGCAAGTTCGCGGAAATGTCGGTGTATGTTGGTCTTGAAACGGTTCAGGTTGTAACCTGTAGGGAAAACCGTCGCAGGGAGTTTATTCCACAGCGATGCTGTTCTCCAGAGATATGAATTCTGATATAATGAGGTTCTCGGTACCTCTAGTTTGACAGTAAATTCATGGTTACCGTCTGTTTGACGGGTTCGCCTGGTAGGTGCTACTCTCGGTGGAATCATACGTGCCAACTCTTCAGAGCATTTTCCGTGATAGTACCTGTAGAAGAGAGATAAATCGCCCACAGATCTGCGATGTTCGAGACCATCCAAGTTACGAGTAAGTGCGGGGTCATTGATCAGCTTGATAGCTCGTTTTTGCACGGTGTTCAAAAGCATTAAGGTATGTTTGGGTGCTGCACTCCATATATGTTTACAACTGCTTTGCGCATGCCCGCCTAGTGACGTCATGGGAGAAAGAGACCAACAATTCGACAGGGACAAAAAATGTTTAAATTTTAAATTAATTTAAATAAACCAGGAAACAATTTTCAATGCAACCAATATGACATGGCTAAGTTTTAGGCCTCACTATATCGAAAAATAATGGTCAGTATAATTTTAATGATAGTAGGTAACGACCCTATTGCACTAAAATGACTTAGTATATTATGCCCCGCAAATTTCTCTCCAGAAGGACGCACTTAATATAACATCCCTCTGAAATTTTTGGTGAGCCGGCATTTTGCACGTGTTCTTAGTGGAATAAACATCAAAATAATAATTCGTCTATATAGTGTTTTGTTGATTTTTATTATTACTATTGCTGCGAAAATTAAGAACAGAATGTGCAATATAAGCGGAATAAGTGACAGAACTTCGAAAATATTTGCTATGATGAAAGGAAAACAAAGCACGGTAAGTTGATATCCAAAAATTATTATTATTAGGCCGTTGTGTTAGAGAATTTGCCTAGTGATTAGTTTATCTCTGTTGACTCTGTTTCCATTAATCAAATATAATATTGTTTATAGTTTCTGAAAACAAAATACCGTTGTAGATAGATAATAGTTAGTACTCCGCGTCGCCAAATCTGGCACTCTAGCAGTCTCATAAAAAAAAATCCAATAAATTAACCTGAACTAAACTATTCTAGATCTACTTGAATAAACGCAAAATAATAACTTTATCCCTATTGTATCATATTATTTTATAAGAAAATTGAAATTGTAAGGGGCATCAACCAGCCAATTGCCTGTTATTGTTCATGACAAAATACTTTGTAACCTTCAGATGCCACTTTGGATTCTATTCAAGAAAATGAAATACCTTCACCTAAAAGTCCATCTTTTGAAAGTACAAATTATAAAAAAAGCTACTTTGAAACAACAGAAGAAATAGATAAATCAAATGTATTTGCATCCAATACGTCAATTCATCAACATTTTCCAGAAAAAGTACTAACTCCACTTAAAAATGTCGCTTCAGAAGATACCAGTGAGACTAACTATCCAGTTCTACAAGAAGTAAATATAACTAATACATTTTTTGGCCAGCGTGCAAAAACGTCATCATTTAGAAATTCTGGACAGTCCTTTCATCAGGAAATGATCAGAATCAATAATGAGGATAATTTTGATTCAGATGACAGCTTAAAAGATCCAGATTTTGTAGACGAATGGATTTCGGATGAATCTGAAGCAGAAGGTATGGCGGATGAAAATGTGGAAGATTATAGTGCAGAAGAAGAGGAAGGTCATGATAACACAGAAGAGCAGGAAGAGAAAAATGTAGATCGGCAAGAGGAAGGAGCGAATGCAGATGAACAAGAGAATGAAAATAATAAGACTAAAAAAAAAATGGAGAAAGCGTACTAGAAATACGGAAAATTGGAAGTGCAATATTAGAAAATAGAAAAGCGGTGTTCCGGGGACGAGTATATCTTAAAGAAAAATTCCAGAATTAAAGGACGCAAAATAAGGCCACCATGCAAAAACACCTGTCTAAGCAAATGTTCTCAGAAATTTTCACCTAATACGCGTGACACTATTTTAAAGGCATTTTGGTCTTCCAGCAGAGATATCAACCAAAAACACAATTTAAGGCATCTATGGTCGAAACATCGGGCGTTGCAAAGAAAAGAAGTAGAACAGGTGAAAAAGTAGGCCAGAGGAATATGACGTATCAATACTTTTTTTCTTTTTGGAAACGAGAAGATTCGAGTATGCAAAACATTTTTTCTTCATACATTAGACATTTCTCAAAGTTTGGTGAATGTAGCATTATCCAAAAAGCTCTGTGGCGGTATAATAGTATCAGGAGATAAAAGAGAAAGAAAGATTCCACCAAATAAAATAGACCATAGAGTGAGAGATGGTGTGAGGACTCATATCTGCAAATTTCCTGTAGTCGAGACGGATTACAGTCGTGAAAGAAGCAGTGAAAAATACCTGGGAAATGATCTTAATATTACTCGAATTTTTGAGATGTACAAGCAGGAGTGTATTGAAAATAGAATTCCTGAAGAACTCATTGCCAAAAAGTGGCTTTATGAACAAATTTTCAATACGGAATTTATTTACGGGTTCAAATTACCCGATAACGATACCTGTGATCAATGCGATGCATTCTTAATAAAGTTACAAGATTCAGATTACGCAAAGGCTAACTATACAGCAAGAATATGATCAACATCTCAGTCAAGCTAAAGAACGATATGACCTAAAAAAGACAGACAAAATTGATGCAAGGGACAGTCGAAATACAAAAGTTATCATGGTAGACCTGGACGACTCCACAACAATAAAACATACTGCTGCATGTGGGTGGCCGTGGTGGCAATGAGATGGCGGGTTGTTTACTTAAAGTGGGCCTCAACAAACATTCCCAGTGGTATAGAGGTTTTGACGATATGGTCCGATAACTGTGTCTCACAAAATCGCAACATTAACGCTGTACTAGCTAATTTTTTTATTTTAAAATGTGTACCAACTCTAAAGGTTATTAACCATAAATATTTGCTTAGAGGCCATACCCATCTCGAGGTAGATTGCGATCATTCCGTTATTGAACGAGAGAAGAAAAGTTGCCACAGTTCAAAATTATGACACCGTGGGATTGGCGGCAATTTTGTCAGAATTGCGAGCCGCTCTAATCCGTTCACAGTAATAAACATGGAAGTAGACTTCAAAATTCTCAAAGCCTTGATGGAAAGCAGTAAGGCTCTCTTTGTTGCGAAAAAAAAAGACCATCAATAGTGAAGATTTCCAAATATCAGAAGTGGTACACATACAAGTCAGAGCTGATGATGTAGGAGTTTTGTATTTTAAAACTGATTTTGCTGCTCTGGAATTTGAAAAAGTCGATTTCAATCGAATTTCACGCAAGGCAGAATTTCCTGTAGATGTTCCTCCAGTTCGGAATACATCAAAACCAATAAGTACCATGAAATTCCAACATCTGAAATTATTGCAAAGGGTTCCACGTGTTTTTCATACATTTTATGGAAATATACCTCACCAAGATAATATAAAAGATGAATGAAACTTCAATGTAAGATAAATTGAATGCACCTCATCATCATAAAGACCAAAGCTGTTTTTTCGCGTTAATTTTTTTGACATTGGTTCAAAACAGGTTTGAAACAGTCAATGGGAAAACCAATCTCAAAAAAGTGAACGCGAGAAACCAGCTTAGAACTTTCAGTATGCGAGGAATTGATTTATTTACTTCAGAATCACTTCTTAGAAATGTTATTAATTTTCTTTATTTTGTAATAAATCTTGTTTGAATCCCGATTTTTTCACATCAATTATTGTGTATTTCCCAATATTTCTGAGAAGCTTATTCCTCAAAACACGTTTTTCAAAACATAAGACGATATCAAAATGTTCTTAATTTGCTACAGATAAAGTATGTTAAGTCACTAAAATATGTTTCAAGTCGCATGCTATATATCAACTTCACTAGTGGTTAAGTATCTTAAGTCACTAAAACCTATTGGTACTGGCATTTTTTCTAAATCAAATGATAATTCTTATTACCTACATCACTAAAACATAATCCCATAGGCGAAATACCAGATCACTAAACTCTATCGCTTTAAAGAGATACCAAATTTATGTGATTTACAATTGTTTTTTCGCTCTCCTCTCCTGAAAAATTTCGATGTTATGACTTGATACACTTTACCTCTGAGATGCAGACATAGAGTACCTATATTAAAAAAATAAAAATTAAAATTAACATAAGTTTTTTATGGTGGGATGGGTCAGGGTGCATTATTATTCAGGTTACTACAGAAAATATCTTATTCATAAGAAAAATAATCACCTTTACAGTTTCAGCTGCGTATAATACTACAAATAAATACTCTCCAATGAACAAAAACGTTTATCTGCTGATTATCTTAGCAATATTGAATAAGCTTAAGTTAATAATATAATAATTGATAAATGTACTCTTTGTGAAAGCAGAATACTTAATAATCCCCAGGTCGAACGACACCTTTTTCTTATCGGTATGTGACTAAGCTTCTTTTTCTGGTCCGCTGACGCATCCTTCATAATTATCATAACATTCGGCCATCCTCTTTAGATCTGACCTCGGATTCCGCCAGATCCCCATTTGACATAAATAGAGAACTTTGAAACTTAGTAACACTTGACATAAAACCATGGTTAAGTGAGCATATCAGACCTTCCGACTCCCAATCTTGTGCCTGATATTTGATCTTAGTACCTCCCACATAACAAAATTGCATCCTTAGAATGTAATGGGAATGTTCTTTTTTTAGGAGGAATGTGCCTAGAATGTTCGCCAAAACCATTGCGAATGTCCTGAGAATGTTCTGAGAAAAGATTGTAGAAATACTGTTTGCAATACCCAAGAACTTCCTGGGAAATCCATTAGGATATTCCTAGAATATACTTATGAGATTCTCAGTACATCCTGAAAAGAATATTTCTGTTTAATTCTAAAAATATGTTTGAAATGTATATTCTCATATTCAAAGAATGTTTCTATGACATTATAGTTATGTTCTCAAAAGAATATTATACCAATATATGCTTGAAATATTCTTGGAAATATATCTACATCATTCTCAATATGCATCCTAGACATAACATTTTTGTGTGATTCTAGGGATATACCTACTTGGAATGTTAATTTTCGCATCCAAATAATGCTCCTCTCGGTCGGAATATATGTACCTATAATATTTTTAGTAGGTTCTAGATAGAGCATTATTGTTTAACTGTCCAATTAAGATTTTTGAGTAGGTACTTTAGATAATTAGGTAAACAATATGGAAATATTCTTATCATGGTTACCTACCTACGTAAACTTCTCAGCACAACTTGATAGGTATATTCTTAATACTTGATAGAGATATTAGCCAAAAGAACATTTTTTAGGGTACATTATAATAATGTTCGTATGACAATATTCAAATAATGTTATATAAGGTAGGTTCTTAGCACAATCTTTCAGGTAGGTACATAGAAGCAACATTCGTAGTACATAAAAAGAACGTCCAAAAATGAATATTTCAATCGAAACAATCTTAGAATATTCATTAAACATTCCTAAAAGAACATTTCAAAAAGCACTTTGAGGGAATATTCTGAGAATATGAATGTTCTTTCACTGTTATGTGGGCTCTTAGTAGGTACTTTTCAAAAATCTCACATTAACTATCTCAACCATAATTTTTATGTTGTGCTTAGTATTTAGACCTAGTACTTCATAGTATGTAGGTACTCTTTCTAAATACCCTACATTCTAATTTATTTAGTCAGTGCATATCACATAAACCTAGTACCTCATAGTATGTACCTATTTTTCATGAATCACTATTGACATTGCCTCATAAGGCCTTACCATTTGAAATGCGGATTCTCACCTTTTGGTATAATCCACGGTTTCATTTCATCTACAGAAACCACCGTCTTCATCTTCCAAAAATTCTCTCAAATCTTGAACTTCATATTTGTCATTTAAAATGAAGTTAATCATCTTGAATGATCCTTTAAGCTTAGCTAACAACTATTCCTACTTGAACCTGTGCGAGGTGTATCTGTCTTCATGACCATTACAACCTCGCCTCTCTTGTATAGTCCTGAGTCCTGCAGCTTTTCTGGACTTGTCAAACCTCTCCTTTTGCTATCTCTGGTCAGTTTCCTTGAAATATTTTCTCTTTCCAAACTTGTACGATCCAATTTCATTTACAACGCGTTTAATATCTGAGCCTCAGATATATTTCTCCGTTTATAACCAATCAAAGCTTCCAAAGCTGTTGTGCCAATTGCTGAATTACAAGCAATATTTAATGAACTTTGGACCTTCTTAACAAAGCTATCCCAGCGTTTAATATCGTGCGGTTGTATCTTTCACACTGTTTGTTCGCTCTTGGAGTCGCTACTAAATTTAGTACATGCTTCAAACCATAGTTTCCACAAAACGTCCAAACCCAACTCTCGGAATCATATCTCGTTTTTTAAACGCAGCACGTAATGAGCTACAGTCCGTAACAATATCAAACTTGATACTCAACAAATAGACCCCATAAAACTTTTTTTTTTTTTTTAAAACATTGCATTATCAAGTGTAACATTTTTTAAATTTAAGTCTTCGAGCGATCGACTTCTTAATAAGAGTATGTACAAGAGCTTCCCTCATAGTTTTCTTTTTCCTTAATTTCTCACTTTTTTTTTTATTGTCTTTCCAATTTTTTCACTTGTATCCGAGCACTGTCCAAGTCACCAGATGATGAATTAGAACTAGAAGATCATCTCCTACTTCTTTACTTATATTTTCCCGTATTGGATGTGAATAATCCCACTTCTGATTTATAATACTACAAATAGATACTCTCCAATGGACAAAAATGTTTATTTGCTCATTATCTTAACAATATTGAGTAAACTTGAATTAATAATATAATAATTGATAAATGTACTCTTTGTGAAAGTTGAATTCTTAATAATCTCCAGGTCGACCGACACCCTTTTCTAATCAGTATGTGACTAATCGCTTCTTTTCTGGTCCGCTGACGCATCCTTCATAATTATCATAACATTTGTTTTTTTTTCTTTTGGTCCGGTCCTGTATTCTGTCTTGTGGGTTTGTTCTGCTTCCAAGTACAGTGGGAATCATTGCAATTGGCACACACTATATTGTCACAATAAGCTAAACGTCCGCCAGGCTGTCAAGAATCGATCGCGGAAATACTAGAATCTAGCGAATTATTCTACTTTAATCTGGAAAATTAGATTATCGTGTGTATTCTAGATTTCACAGGAATAGATTTAGGGATATATAAGAAGGCCGGCATTGGTTTGTAAGTTAGTTTCAGTTCGAGTGTGATACGATTTAAATAGTGATTGTAAAGAGTTTAATTGTTGAGTTTGTTAATAAAGTAATTAGTGTCAGAGTGTTTTGTTAAGTGGAATAAATTATTGCTGTGTTAATCGGACTTTGATTTTTGGAATAAACGAAACGAACAACGAACCCAAGATTTTTGTCAGCAGGCAACCCAAAGCCGCGACAATATAAATATCCCTCGTAAGGTGTCAAATCTGACACACCAGTAATAGCAAAATGCTGCACTAAATAGATTTATTGGTTAGAATTTTGACTCAATACGAGGGATTTTAAAGAGTGTGTGCCAATTGCAATGATTCCCACTGTACTTCCTGGTGGGTCAGCTAGATCGTGGGGTGTTAACGGTCCCACGGTTTAAGTGTCGTTGCCTGGTTCTTGGTTTGTTATGCTTCTTGTTTATTGTTCTTTATTCTGTCTTTCAAGCGGATTGGTTCTGGCTCCAAGTACTTGCTGGTGGGTCAGCTAGATCGTGGGGTGTTAACGGTCTCACGGTCTATGTGTCGTTGCCTGGTTCCTGGTTTGTTTATGCTTTTTGTTTATTGATACAGTCATGAGCCCCTACTTATTTCAGAGCTATCGCAAGATATCAGTTATCCTTCCAGTTCTGGTCACGGCTTTGCTGTGTTCGTCCCTGGTTGAATTTTTGTGAATACATGCAAAAAATAAATGTTTAATAAATGCAAAAGAATTGCTTATCCCTATAATTAGTTTAAATATGACCCAGATTCGGGCCACCAAATGCCCAGCCCTTCCGTCGATAAGAGTGTTTCTGATTATTTTTCTTTTATAGTAATTCATATTCTCTATCTTCCCATAGAATTATGAGGTCATCCATTGATTTCCTCCTATATTGAGCTATCGTTCCTCTCCATTCCTTGTATACTGTATTCCTAAAGTTAATGTCTTACTCTATTTTTAATCCTACCTCTACTTCCAATTTCCTTACTTCATATTTTTGCTTATAATTTATCTGTAAAATCAGTCTCCTTCTACCTAGTTTTCTGCTTCACTGCTTCCGTTTCCGTTTTCAACTTTTTCTTCTTCGTCTTCATCCTCTGTTTCTCCATTAACCTCAGATTGTGCGTCGTTAGCAATATCTGTCTTCTCTGCCTTTTCTTCATGAATCGTAGTAGGATGACATCCTACTCACGTGGACCATATCCTTCTTTCTGCTTCCAATCTTTTCTACTTCATAATTTACTTCTCCCATTTTTCTAATTACTTCCCATGGTGCAAACCATCTTAAGAGTAACTTATCGCTTCTTCCAAACTTTCTAATCTAATCTAATTCTCTATATCTTTCGTCAGAGCGTCCCTTATCTTTTTCTTGTCTTTTTTGTATATTTTCTACTGTTATAGCTCTTATCAAGAGTGCCTTTTCTCTAATCGTTTCCTCTCCGGCAAGATGTTCCGATATTTCCTTAGCAATTTTACGCCTTTGCCACAGTGTCGGACATTTTCTCTCTTGTCAACGTAATCGGGTCGTGGCGTGGCGTGGGCGTTGGCTTGCTTCAAAGTCGCCCAAAGACGTCGGTTCTTGGGCGTCGGGTTCGAGACGGCGTTTTCACCAAATGTCACAACCTCTTGGTGACGGGGGTGCAGGGTGGATAGATGGAGAGAAACCCGCTCAGTTTTATATAAAAAGGTATATATTTGCTAAGAAGTCATTATATGAATTCTCTAGGATGCATGCTCTTCCGTGGATAGGGCCACATGTTTGACGCTAATCAGGAATGTCGCTTTAATGGTACTAATGTTACGTTGAATGTTAATCGATGATTAACTGATCCTCATCTAGAGGGGCTTTCCCAGCGTGGCGGTACTTGCACTAGATGACGATGCAGTATGCAGTTTCCCAAAGGGGCTTTCCCAGGGTGGGCAATTCGGCACGACATTATGTTAACTAGCAAAACAGCCATGTTCAAAAAAAGTTTCATCTACAATGCCATTAATCTTTACAATTCACTGCCCGAACAATTGTGTCTGTTTACCTGTTCCATTTTACATAGAATCGTAACCAGTAATTAAAGTATGGGTATTTATTAAGGTTTTGCTGGGATGATTATTGTAAGTGTCTATTGAGGACATTATGTCATTATGATTGTCATAAAATATAGATTTTCAATAAAAGTAATTATCCAAACTCTGCATTTGTGAGTATATAACTAACAATTGGCGACGAGGATTTTAAGAACCAACAATGCCAAGAAGACGTACAAATGTGATAAGTGAAGAACCATCATTACAGCTTACTGCCGCCTCATCCACTCTACATACAACTGCGCATTCAGTACATACAGTTTTCTCCATTGAAAATTTTGATTCATCAAAGAAATTTGATCGGTGGTTAATGAGGTTAGAAAGTGCATTTATGATTTTTGAAGTTCCTGATATTAAAAAATGCGCTTATTTACTACATTACATGGGACCAGATGCCTACGATATGCTGTGCGATAAAATTTCTCCAAAAAAACCTGATTTGTTAACATATGAAGAAACAGTGGAAATAATGCAATTACACTACAATCCTGAACCATTAGAGATTGCCGAAATCTTCAGATTTTTACAATCTCTAATGGTTCAGGATAACTAACACGGGCCTAAGTGAATCTTTAGTTTTGATTATTTTTGTTTTAAATCATAGTTTTAAGTGCCATTTAGGTAATTTAATTTAATTGAAATTAATTGTCTGATTGATTGCTATTTGGGCAATTAATGTTTAAATGCATGATTTTTTTTACTTATTATATCTTTTGGGTTAAGTATCAGTTACACTTAATATGTGAGTTTATAAAATGATATGGTTGATATATTTTTTTCTTATGAAATAAAAGTCGTTTATTGTTATTATTATTTTGTATTGCTATTGCTCTGGTCTCTGATACGTTAAGACTTACGCAATACGTGCGGTTTTGCTTTACAATTAAAGCAATGGATAATCCTGAATTCTCAATCATTGGGTAGGTACCCATTGACGCTAATGACAGACCGGTTTCGAGCTTCTTATGTTCTCGTCAGTGCAAAATAAGCGAAAGCAAGTCAACTCGAAGAAACAGGAGATTCACATGATAAGAAAGACATTTCAATACCTATTAAGTGACTTTTATACTCAGCAAAGATTACGAAGCGCGTGAAAATTAAAAAAAAAATCCTTAATTAAGTTTTACCCTGTCTAAAAGTTTGAGCTAATTAATTACCCATGTATTTAAAAAAACAATTTAGCTGTGTGGCTACGGCTCATTAAAGTAACTTTTTCCATGAAATCCAATATAATTAATTTCCCTAAACTTTCTAGAACAATTTTCAATTCAGTCTCATTAAGACCTGAAACTTGAAGGTCCTGATAAAAAGACCCCAAAGTGGGGTTGGGTTCCGTTTCCAAACCTGGTTAATCGGTCGGTACAACGTCGGTTGACAGCGGCTGCCAGTGGTTGCTGAAAATTTTGGTTTCATACGAAACGCTTTTCCAATTGCAGAATTGCCGCCGGTTGCCTCGGTGACATGTTTGACATAACCATTTTCAAGAACCGCGTTCCGTATAGACCTGTTTTTCAGGCACCACACATTACCGAACGTGTAACCGTAACTACAGCCGTAACCAAGGTTGGAAACGGAATCCAGCCTTGGTTTTGAATTCACCTTGCGATCAAATCATGTTTACTAACAACTTTTTATTTTTCTAGTACTGAAATAAATAATGCTCCTAATTAATTAATGAAAAACGTTCGGATTCCTTAGAAAACGTGTTCAAGGAAAATCAATTTGAGTTGGAGTTTTTCCATATTTTGAATATTCAGAGCTGTTAGTAATTATTGAATACAGTGCCATCATACCCCACTTAAAGCAACATCATTAAAATATAGTTAGATGATATGATTTCAAAGTATCTGATTATTTTGTTCTTCTTTACTGCGTTTGTACGGAATATTTTTAATTTACACCGTATTTTTTTAAATTACCGTCTGATTTTTTTTCGTAACGATTAAATTTATTATGAAAAATGTGCTTTTATAATTGAAAGCGTAATTATATCTTGCGAAAGATCGGGAAAAGTTGCAAATTGGTGGAAGGCCATACTAGTGAGGCCCTTTTTATTCTAGTAAGCTTGCCACCTTCTGGCAATACCGCGTCATAATTATACACAAAAAGTGCGCAATAAGATTTTGGCAATAACTTCTCATTTGTAACTGGTAGCATTGTATAATAAGAGAACTCTTATTATACAATGCTGGTAGCAAACAACTTCTTATTATAGAAAATTGTAGAGAAGAAAATTTACCATCTTTTTCTGATGTTTATAACGATTAGGTACCTATTCTCAGTAAATTTCCGAGACATACTGTCTCAAAACATATATGTACAGGGTGTCACGAAAGGTTTGTTACAAACTTCTAGGGATGGTAGATCTCGTACGAATTAGGTTTTTTTTTTTTTGATAAAAATATGTCCGGAAATGCTTTGCTTTCCAGATACTGGACTACTGCAATTTGTAAAAAAAAAACTATTTTTTTTAATATTTCCTAGAAATGTGTTGTGTTTTCCAGATAAAACCTAAAAATCATTTAAGGCGAACCACGAACGTCACTGATCTCCATTAATAAAAAAAAATTGCCTCAGAATTACCTGAAATTTTACCAGCCTATTTGTTGCTTAAAAATAAACAAAAAAAGCAAAAAACTTTTTTTCTAAAACGCACGCATTTCCAAGAATTAATAAAAAATTCACTTATTTTCACAAAGTTTAACACCCTGTATCTGGAAAGCGAAGCATTTCCGGACACGTGTTTATTAAAAAAAGAGCTTAATTATTACGAGATCTATCATCTCTAGAAGTTTGTAACAAACCTTTCGTGAAACCCTGTATTTTAGTACTGTAGATTTTGTGGACAGGCCTAATTGACTTTTAAGTGTTTTTGCCGGACGGGATAAGTACCACTGGTCGAATATTGCTAATGCAGTATCAGAGCCCGTAACATCCTGGAGCTTTCTAATTTCTTATCATTAGGTTTGTCTTGGTTCCACTCAGAACTAGTTCGGAATTATTCTGCACAGCGCATGTTATAAAAAGCGTCTTCGTTTTTTCATAATCAAATTAAGAACTATGTAAGAACAATTCTTGGATTGTTCTAGGAAGTTTCTCTCAGTCTCTGAAGGAGGAACTGTTTTGGAACTTTGTGATTTGCGACTTGTTTTTTTTTTTTTATTTCCGAATCGGTTCAGAGAACTAGTATTAGAGCAGTCCTCCATTATTTTTTTGTGCGAAAGCAATTAGGTGAATCGAATCAGCTGATAATTCAAGATGGCGATGCGGCACGAATGTAAACAAACCAATGAGGTTAAACATTGTCTCCATATAAATGTGTTTTATTTCTACCTGTTCCAGAGTTTAATCTGATGAATTTTAATTTATTTCAATTTCCTTTAATGTTCGTAGCTAAAACCGAGTTACTTGGAATATTTATCTACCAATAAAATACCTGGGCATCAGGTACAAAACGGACCTCAAGTAGGTAGAAAGGCCTGAATATCGGCGCTACATAATACTGTAATGGCAAAAACTCATTAAACACTGTGGTTCACTTTAAATTCATAAATGGCATATTTAAACACTTTGCCAATATCCGACATTTATAACAAATATAAAGTGTGTCAGAGGCAAATGAATGTCAAAATCATAAATTACATAAACCACAGCAACGCCAAAAATAAAAATTTGTATCAAAAAACGTCTCAAACAGATTAAAACCCTTTAGAAATTCACAGAAAATACAGTCTCTTATGTTGCCATGCCGCGGCGCCATCTTGTACGTCAAACATCAAATCGCCCTATACCTTCGTTTCGATTCGAAATTTAAAACGGCTCAGGGATTGCGCACAATAAATAATGGAGAACTGTTCTAATACTAGTTCTGAACCGATTCGGAACCAAAAAACCAAAACAAGCCGCATCAGAAAATTCCAAAACAGTTCCTTCTTCGGTGCAACAGTTGAGAGAACCGTTCTAGTATTGTTCTCATGTAGTTCTAAATAATCCAAAACGCTGTCAACACAGTTCGATTACGATTCTGAAAAAACGGAAACGCTTTTTATAACATACACATGTGCAGAATGATTCCGAACTAGTTCTGAGTGAGTGAAACCAAAACAGAGCTAGTTCCGGGCGATCCCAGAACCGTTCCACACAGTAAAAAAAAAGTCCGTGTATAATTACACGACAAAGTGGTAAGCGCGTTGTGTGTAAAAACTATTCACCATTATTCGTGAAGTGCCGTCCAGTTAACCAACAGTAATTTGGTGAATTGATATTTTACACAGTACAGTTGATATTTTACACAGTACAGTGTTGAATCAAAGTTATGTCCTGGTTCCGTGTTACCCTACACGACAATGTGTAATTTCTTACTCCACTCTCATTAAATGACCACCAAAAATTTTTAAATTTACACGGTAGACGAACGTTTATACACCCAATAATGTGTCGGGTCAAGCCCTCCGTCCTCTACCTACTTTTATGTGACTGTGATCAGTTCCAAGCGTGATAGGATGGTTGATGTTCGTTTGTCGTTGTCTTCAAAAAAAATCATTTGAACCAAAAACCAAAGAGTTACGCCATAGATGAACAGTTTTTTTAATATGTTTTGTATGATTTTTGGAGAAGTCGCACATTTTCGGGTCTATTCTGATTGAAAATATTTGATCCGATAGCTATTTTTTTTAAGCTAAACTAATAAAGGATAAAACAATAAAATAAAATAAAATGAAAATAGCTATGGGAATATCAAAGATTTTCAACAGACTATTCGTTAAAAATACGACTTTTCAAAAAATCATACAAAAAACAGGATGTTCCATTTAAAAAACAGTTCATCCATAGCGTAACTATTTGACTCAAATTATTTTTTGGTACTATGGTCGTCGGTGGAAACATTAACACGATAACACTGTTTTGTGTATACCTAACACGCATATTCAAAAATACGTACACTGTTGCGTGTATATTTAAAATATAACTTATTGTAAAAGTTACATGATATGGTGTATTATGCTTAGCACCGTTTTGTGTAAATTGTTCACGCAAATTCTCGTCAAATTTACCAAAAGCCTTGGTGTGAAATATACACAAACTGGTGTGGCCTTATATATAGACCACTTTTCGTGTAAAATGTTGCATGATTTTTTTACTGTGCAAATTTCGAACCAAAACAAAGCTATTACCAAGAGGTCCAAAATCAGATAAAAAACTAACAAATAAATAATTACCTAATATCCAAATAAATGCATACCCATGTTTTCAGTTTTTATATTCCACTGACATACCAAATTTCATAATTTTATAATACTGCAGAAAAGTGTTAGTACTTAAATAAACGGAGAAGTTTCCCCAAAAAAAGAGGTTACACGAAAAACCTTCTGTTGTTTTGCATCTTTTGTTTATTACGACGCCAGCGGTTTTGTTGAAAGGTCGTATATAAAGGATGATCCAACTAGTGCTTTAGGATTTTAAAGTGAAATATAGGCAACACTGTACATGCCAAAAAAAATATTTGGTAGTTTTTAGATTGATTTATTACAAAATGAAGTGGAACATTTCAAC